CTTCTGCTATATATACAAGATACATGCTTATATATGTAAATTTATTGAACTATTGTTCATGAAAAATATGAAAACAGAAAATGTGGTTTAGTACAGTTGTACAGTCTGATGTTATTTTGGAATAAATAGTAATTTAACCTTGGCAAGGATTTTTCCACATTTTAAAGTGATGTTCTGTGAAATAGTTATCAATAGATAGAATCATGTCAGCCTCATAGAGTATGACAAAAAGAGCAGAAGTCTTCCTGCAGGCTAGGCTAAAGGCTTGGCTTAACAAGGGCCTGTTTGATATTGTATTTTAGGCTCTGCCAAGTCTTCTCAAAATTGTCAGAGTCATGGTAAAGAATACTCTTATGGGCCACATATACCAACAAGAGAGACACAGGAGATTGGCCGAAAAGAGTTTCGAATTGATTTACAAAAACTCAGTTATCAACGTTTTTTATGCACCGTCATGTTGGATTACAAAGTGGATGAAATTAAACTAGTTTTCATTATCGTCATAGATGTTTAAGCTGAGATAGAGCAAACAGTTTCCTGCTGATCGGAAATCACCCTGATTTATTAACTAAACTCAGGAGAAACATAGATTATTATTTGCCTGAAAGGGGTTAGAGATTACAAAACCTCTTAGAGTTACTTTGCTTTCTGTTCACTACATTACTCTGCTCTTTGTTTAAGACCAAAGCCTGCCACAAATGAATCTGTATTTTCAGAAAAATATAGATATTTGAAGTCTCTTACTCTTCACCTGTCTGTCATCCCTCCCCACACACACACACACACACTGACCTCCTGGACTAAAATAGGCTCTCAGGAACAGTTTGGAGCAATGAATTGACTCTATATCGGGGGATTTTCACCCTCATCCCCTTTTCTCTTTATATTTTTCTCTCTTTTCTAATCATTTGTGGGCTGCGACTCCTCAGAGTTCTTATAATTGTCTCGTTCAGTCCCTCAGCCTTGCAATAACTGCAGGATACGAGAGCTCACCGTCTAATACTGATACTGAGGCTATATATATTTGTGTGTATGTGCGTGTACGGGTGATACGACAAGCACGGCAGCGAGCTGTGTTTATATGAGAGGAGGGAGTGTACTTTTGAGAGATCAAGAAGGAGAGACGGTGAAAACCCAGTAATAGATTGCATTTGTATACCGTTTTCTCAGAGACTCCACTATCTATGAAGTCACTCAATTCCAAATCAGTTCCCTGGAGTCGTTTCAAGTCCACTAACTTCTTTCTCCACATCTGTCTTAGAGATTTTTATTATCAACCTTTGCCTCCAATCCTGCGTTCAGCCCTCTGGTACCATCCATTTAATTTTCCCCTCCGCTACATCAGCCAGACACACAGTTCTTTTTATTTCAAATTACTTCCTCACAAATAAAAACTCCAGCTGCAGCTTTTCTGACATCACTTCCCTTCTGTGCAGGGTTGCAGGAGTCACCGCTGGCTAACGGACATGGCCACGGCGGGCGGGACTTCCTCAGGAAGCAGATGAGAGGGGAGCTGTTCTCGCCGCAGCAGATCGAGGTATTGGACCGCCTCTTTGACAGACAGCCATCATGTCCAATCCAATCCACCACTGAGCTCTATGTGAGCCCTGACTCTGGCAAGGTAAGGGCGAGGCATTGGGCAGGCTCGGCTCAGACAGACTCATGGGGACAAAGCTAAAAGATGCTGACATGACTGTCATGTGCAATACACATGAGAAGTTCTGCTCGCATCAATTTCACCTCACGTTATAATGTTTATGGCAACATCATGGACCAAAGTCTTGTTTGGTCACTAAAGCCTGATTTATCGTTAATTCTACAGCTTAAGAAATAAATTTATGTTTGTAGCTCCTTCAGTAAACACTGCAGCCTCACTGAGTCGCTGTACCAACAGATTTAGTCCACTCAAAGCAAAACAGTTTCATATGTTGAGCTGTTGTTGATTTGACCTGGTCTCTGTTTGGAGAAAAGGCTCACGTCTAACTGGACTGATGAGCTAACAGCTAGTCCGAGTGCATCAAAAGACCAAGGTGAGCGGTTGCCGTCTTAAAACAACTTCAACTTTTTTTTTTTTTCAGTTTTAGTGTGAAAAAAAAACCTTCAACCTCAAAGATTTGAAGATGCTTCATGCAAATGCTATTTTATAAATCTTTACATTGCATTCAATTTGGCATTACATGACAAATACATGTTGGTTATTTACAACCACAAAAGCAACCGCAGCTAGCAGTAGCACGTCCGATACAGCCTGATGGGTACTTTCATCATGAGTATCTAAGGGTTTCTGTCAAAACTGGCAGCAGTGCAGCGGTTTATAAAACAACATTTGCATAAACTGCTGAGAAAAAGATTGAAGTTATTTGACTCAACTCAGACCAGCCATTAGCTCATCAGAGGACTCTATTTCCTAAAATGGAGATGGTATAAAAATTAGCTTCAACAATTGAGCAAACAATTGTTCATAACCTTTTCTAAAGAAAGGGGCTTTAAAATATTTTTGGATAATCTTCTTACGCATTAAACACACAATCAACAAAAATGAATTCAGGTACAGTGGACACATTCTTCTTCTTTTTTGTTCTGTTGTTCCCTCAGGGGTCGCCACAGCGAGTCATCCTCCGTCTCACTCTGTCCTCACTCCAACTCCATGTCCTCTCTAACTGCATCTTTGTCTTTTTCTTGGCAGTTGCATTTCTAACATCCTTCTACCAATATACCCACTGTCCCTCCTCTGGACATGTCCAAACCACTGTCCCTCCTTTGGACATGTCCAAACCATCTCAGTCTGGCCTCTCTAACTTTATCTCCCATTTGTTCAACCTGAGCTGTACCTCTGATGATCGCATTCCTAATCTTCTCCATCCTTGTCACTCCTAAGGAGAACCTTAGCATCTTCATTTCTGCTACTTCCAGTTCTTTCTCCTGTCTTTTTGTCCATGTCTCTGTCTTCAGACCATACAACATAGCTGGTCTCACCACTGTTTTCCTTCGACCTTTGCGGACACCCTTTTGCCACAAATCACTCCTGAAACTTTTCTCCATCCACTCCATCCTGCCTGGACTCTCTTCTTCACCTCTTTACCACACTCCCCATGTTCGTGGACAGTGGACCCCAAGTACTTGAAGTCCTGCACCTTAGTGACCTCTGCTCCTTGTAGCCTCACTGTTGCACCTCCTCCCTCTCATTCACATGTACTCTGTCTTACTTTCATTCCTCTTCTTTCAAGTGCATACCTCCACCTCTCCAAGTTCTCTTCCACCTGTTCCCTGCTCTCATCACAGGTCACAATGTAACACGACACTAAACCCATAAAATCAGAAACTGAAAGGCTTTTTCACTCTTTACCTATCAGTTTACTACTGGGATAAATTCAAAATGGGTAGACAACATATTTAGCTTTTAACTAGTAGAAAATAAGTGTTGTAGACCAAAAACAAACCATAAGACACGAGTGAATGATAACCAAATAAATAACCAATACTACAGAATGACAGCAGACTTTTTATTATTAAAAATGGAAATATTTGACTCGCACTGATACAAATTGTTTACCTTTCTTGGGTTATGAAGAAAAAAAAACACAGAGAAACTGAGACATATTTACGGTTGAACAATTTATCTTTTTAATGTCTGTATCAGAAATGTTACATGTAAACCAGTGATGGTGCAGTGCTGAAGCTGACTAATCTCAGTAGACTTAACTTTATCAGAAACGTTTAAAACACATTCACGAACAGATCAATCAACTCATGGTGTCTGCAAGTCAAATATAATCTGTTGCTTCGTCTTTGCTTTCAGTTAAAAGCCTGCCTGCTATGCCTTGCCATGCCACGTCCATGTTAACAACATTCACCATGTTGCACAATAAAATGCACAACTCTACATTCATCCCCATTATTTACTTTCCTGCGGCTCATTGGCTGACTGCTCTGAAAATGTAACCATCAAGTTGTGTTTTCTCGTTTGGCCCGATGCACCGCTGTGACTTCCTGCGCTCTTATAGACCCTCAGATGAGACGCAGTCAGTCGAGTTTATCGACGCTCCTATAATCCTGACACACTGCGGGGGTTAATGAGTATATTGACCCGCCATTCAATATGACCTCACTTCCTGCTGCTTGGTGGACAGTGATGGAGCTATCTGCATGCTGAAGCACGTGGAAATGAGCTGCAAATGTGTGTGTGCTTGTGAGAACCGGTGTTCATGTCTAAATTGACCTCCAGGCCAGTTTGAACAGTAAAAAAATGTCAGTCTGAGTGGAATGGACAGGTGTAAGAGGTACTCTGAATATCAAAATGACAGCACACTATTGTTGGTATTCTGTTTATCTTTTCTCTGATGTTTTCTTCATGTAGCTTGCCACTCAGTAATAAAGGTATAGTTCAGAACTTTTGAAGTGGTGTTCTGTGGAAAGAAATGTGCATGTAATATCTTACCTGTTGTAGGCAGTTCAATTGATCTCTGTTTGGAGGACGATAAGATAAGATAAGATAAGATAAGATAAGATAAGATAAGATAAGATAAGATAAGA